GTGTATGCAATTGGTACTTTTGCGCCATCTCTTTGGCAATCCCTATACTTTTCCAAATTAAATTCTTGTAATAGTTGAACGAGTTCCAATGAGATGTAGCCACGTACGTAAATACATTCAAAAGAACCGTTTAATTTATGCACTAAATAGCCACGTACGACTCAATTTTCCTTAAAGGGCAGTTGAAAATGTGCAGTTTCATGTAGGATTTGTAGAGCAATTATACTTCGATGATCCAGAATCTGGAATTATTGTCTTTTGTGTATGCAATTGGTACATTTCCGCCATCTCTTTGGTAATCCCTATACTTTTCCAAATTAAATTCTTGTAATAGTTGAAACAGTTCCAATGAGATGTCGCCACGTACGTAACTACCTTCATAAGTACATTTTAATTTATGCCCTTAATAGCCACGTCCGACTCAATTTTCCTTAAAGAGCAGTTGAAAATGTGCAATTTCATGCAGGATTTGTAGAGCAATTGTACTTCAATGATCCAGTATCTGGAATTGTCTTTTGTGTATGCAATTGGTACATTTGCGCCATCTCTTTGGTAATCCCTATACTTTTCCAAATTAATTTCTTGTAATAGTTGAACGAGTTCCCATGAGATGTAGCCACGTACGTAACTACATTTAAAAGAACATTTTAATTTATGCACTAAATAGCCACGTACGACTCAATTTTCCTTAAAGGGCAGTTGAAAATGTGCAATTTCATGTAGGATTTGTAGAGCAATTATACTTCGATGATCCAGAATCTGGAATTATTGTCTTTTGTGTATGCAATTGGTACTTTTGCGCCATCTCTTTGGCAATCTTTATACTTTTCCAAATTAGATTCAACTAATAGTTGAACGAGTTACAATGAGATGTAGCCACGTACGTAAATACATTCAAAAGAACCGTTTAATTTATGCACTAAATAGCCACGTACGACTCAATTTTCCTTAAAGGGCAGTTGAAAATGTGCAATTTCATGTAGGATTTGTAGAGCAATTGTACTTCAATGATCCAGTATCTGGAATTGTCTTTTGTGTATGCAATTGGTACATTTGCGCCATCTCTTTGGTAATCCCTATACTATTACTAAGTATTTTCTTGTAATAGTTGAACCAGTTCCAATGAGATTTCGCCACGTACGTATCTATCTTCAGAAGAACATTTTAATTTATGCACTTAATAGCCACGTACGACTCAATTTTCCTTAAAGGGCAGTTGAAAATGTGCAATTTTATGTAGGATTTGTAGAGCAATTGTACTTCAATGATCCAGTATCTGGAATTTTCTTTTGTGTATGCAATT